GACATGGATTGGACTACACTGGTCAGGGCTTCTCAAATTAACACCATTGGATGCCTGTTCAGTGGTCTAGCGATTAAGCGTTCGCGCGCGAGACCGAAGGGTCTGGGTTCGAATCCCTTTGGTGAGGGATCGTGGATATGCACTGCTAAGGAGTCCAACACTAGAACGGAACTGCCGTTCAATGCTTCCAGGTTTTCAATAGCGGTTTAGCTTAAGTCGACTCATCGATTCAACTATTAGAATTTTTACTCATTATTCAAAGTCTAAAGATGCTTATGATCTGAGTGTTCAAATAGATGTGATTTATGAGAAGAGATAATTTTGAATCTATCATGTTATAATTAAATAGACTGTATAAAGTATTAATCATATACAACTAAACATATTTGGGATTAGAAAGGAAAAAAAGAAAGGAACATACAATATGAACGTATTCATCAAACATAGTTGACAAGTTATTAATTGTATATACAGCCTTTATTTAAAAAAAAATGGAAAAACCATCTTTACAAGTAGAACTTTGTTAATAATGGAAACACATAGAGAATACCAAAACTGAACAAAATTTAAACATATAATATATAATATATCAGTTGAAAATATGGAAATTTATCCTTGAAAAAAAGGCACACAGTTGAAATTTATTGTTTACATGAAAAAAAAATCTCCAAAAGATTAGAGTTGTGACAACTTAGGGGAACATTATATATGATGATAAATAGAGAGAGAGAGAGAGGAGGAGGAGGAGGAGGAGGAGGAGGAGAGGAAAACAAAAAACCAACAGACAATAAGCAAATATTCAATTCTAATAAAATTAAAGAAAAGGATGTATACAAATGAACCTTTTACCAAATATCATTTGATGTAAAACCAGGAGAAAAATGTCAATAATAAAGATAAAGATTAATTTAGAGAAGAGGAATAAAAATGTAGAGAAATAATTACAAATCATTATAAATTTAAAAGTTCTTTGAATAAGAACAATAAAAGTTGTGAAGGTTATATATATAATCGATTTCTTTTGTGCAACATTAAAGGGTATGTACTTACTTACGCCTGTTACTTCTCGTGAAGGAACATAGGCCGCTCACCAGCATTCGCCATCCAACCTTGTACTGGGCAATCCTTTCGAGCTCCTTCCAATTGTTATTCATCATTTTCATATCTGCTTTTATTTCCCGACGTAATGTGTTCTTTGGCCTTCCTCTTTTCCGTCTTCCTTCAGGATTCCAAGTTAGGGCTTGTCTCGTGATGCAGTTTGATGATTCGCGTAGTGCATGTCCTATCCATTTCCATCGTCTTTTCCTAATTTCTTCTTCAGCTGGAAGTTGCTTTGTTCTCTCCCACAGAAGGCTATTGCTGATGGTACCCGGCCAATGGATGTTGAGTATCTTGCGTAGACAGCTATTTATAAATACTTGTACCTTCTTGATGATGGTTGTATTAGTTCTCCAAGTTTCAGCTCCATACAGTAGAACTGCCTTGACTTTGGTATTGAAGATTCTCACTTTGATATTGGTTGAAAGTTGTTTTGAGTCCCATATGTTCTTCAACTGAAGTAATGCGACCCTTGCTTTGCCAATCCTCGCCTTCAAGTCTGCATCTGAACCTCCTTGTTCATCGATGATGCTTCCTAGGTATGTGAAGGACTCTACATCTTCCAGAGTTTCTCCATCAAGAGTGATTGGATTGCTGTTCTCCGCCTTGAATTTGAGGATCTTGGTTTTCCCTTTGTGTATGCTGAGGCCTACTGATGCTGAGACTGCTGCTACACTGGCTGTCTTCATCTGCATCTGTTCGTGTGTACGTGATAGGAGGGCTAGGTCGTCTGCGAAGTCCAAATCGTCTAATTGATTCTGAGCTGTCCATTGTATTCCGTGTTTTCCTTCAGATGTCGAGGTCTTCATAATCCAGTCGACCACCAGAAGAAAGAGGAAGGGAGAGAGTAAACAGCCTTGTCTGACTCCAGTCCTTACTTGGAATGCATTTGTCAGCTGTCCTCCATGCACTACTTTGCACTGTAGTCCGTCGTATGAGTTCCGGATAATATTGACAATCTTCTGAGGAACTCCATAGTGTCGAAGAATTTTCCATAATGTCCTCCTATCTACAACGTCAAACGCCTTTTCATAATCAATGAAGTTGATGTATAGTGACGAGTTCCACTCAACTGATTGTTCGGAGATGATCGTAGTGTCGCAATTTGGTCTGTGCATGTTTGATCCTTACGGAATCCATCTTGTTGATCTCGAAATTGGGCGTCCACTGCATCTTTCATCCGGTTCAGCAAAACTTTGTTAAAGACTTTTCCTGGTACTGACAGTAGTGTGATTCCTCAGTAGTTTTCACATTTGCTCAGGTCTACTTTCTTTGGAATCTTGAAGGGTATGTATTACTTAATAATTTAATTATGCATAAGACACATAAAACCTGGTTTAAGTGTGCTTCTGTTTAAGTTTTATTTAAACTTATTAAGGGATCAGAATGTATTATGTAGTAATTTTAAGTAATAACCAAATATACCTTTTAAATAATACAATAATAACAAAGCTGACAGAATAAAATGAATCCAATCTACTTCATGGGTTTTCATCAACTGCAGACAAACTAAAATTATAAGGAAGCTATTTTTAGCTGATAAAATTCCATGTAATCATTTTTGTTCTTCCAGTGTTTACAGATATCATGTGTTACGTATCTCCACCTACTATCTACCTCAAAGGACGATGTTGTCTAGTATGGGAGTAAACCAAAAGGTAGGGGCGGCGAAACTAAAATATGGAATCAGTCCATGAAGTTAATGATAATTAGACTGAGTCATGTAGGTAGATGTAGACTACCTGGTTGGGGTCCGCGTGATCAACGTAACCAGTGGTCAGAGACTTTAAATGATGTGGCTCAAAATTATTTGCAATGACGCAGGTGTATTTTTTGTCTTCTCCTATATGCTAAGCTTGTGAACACTTCATAATTTTTTTTGTCTTTTTATTTTACTAATTTATATTTTCTTGAATCGTATCTTTAATCCCTAATCTTTCCTATCACCACTAATACTGTTCCTACCTCTACTATTCTGAGATTTGGCCTGACAATTTCATCTCTCTGTGCTAATAGGGTATGACAACTTAAATCGATGTAAATACATATTAGGTTCTACGTTGTGATTGACTGATCTAAATCAATCACAGAAACTGATTGTATGAAATAACTGAGCTTAAATTTATTTTATCCTCCTTTGTCATCAGTGTTTGCTTATTACTTAACCACTTGTTTCTAATACTTTGCTTACTCTCAATATTGTAAAATGTTCGTTTACATATGATATATGAATCCATTTGCAATTTTAAATTAGTCTCTAAAAGTTATTGACATCTTTGATATTCATATGCTGATATGTGATCCCAATAACTTTCAACCATATTCAATTACCTAAGTAATCTCAACTCATTTTCATTTTAAATAATACAGATTGTAAGCAGCTGATGACGAAACAAAATGAATTCATATTATTCTGGTCAAACCTTTATTACTGTCCTCTTCAAAACAGAAATAATTTGGGGCCATAAATAGTTCTAATAAAGTAGAAGTAATTTATCTACATATGAATGGGCGATTTTTCATAAATGATCCAGTCAATTAAAAAAATATATATATAAGATTCTATTCACTGCCATACTAAAATAGTTACAGATCGAATTACATCGATTACGATCGGTTGATTCAGACAATCTCAGAGACATATACATATTGTATTATCTCATATAAACATTTTTATGTATTGGGAAACTAATCACATTAATTATTGACAAATTGATCAAAGTAGAGATATGATTAAACAAAGAAACCTACCAGTTATTGTTTACTACTTGAAAGGAAACAAGAATTATCGCTGTACTAACTATTTGATCTGCTAATAAACAGATCGATATTCACTTAAATATTAAATGTCTATTCGTTTGATATTTATTATAACGGAATGAATATTGTAAAAGTTGGAACTGGTTTTACTGATTATTATTCATTATAATTTTGTTGTATAACCACTAAGTAACAAGATTACTATGTATATGTATTCATTTTATCATAAGCTTTCGGTTAACTAATGAACTATTGTCATACGAACCGATCATTTGTATTTTGTTACTCGCTTGTTATTTACACTCTCCCCCCACTTACAGCCACTTTCACCTAAGTTATATATATGATTGCTACTTCTGGACCAAAGGCAAGGTATAGAGAGGAGTTAGTGAATAGTGGATCTATAAAAACCTAGGTGCCAGCTCAATGTCAAAAGTTCTGGTTGGACGTGTAACAGAAGAAATCGGCGGCACTAACCTATAGAGTACATAACAGACAGAATTAGAATTAGGATCCTGATTGATAATGTGATGTTCATCAGCGGTTTCAAGAAATAACAATATTTAACTAGATAACTTCATATACTATACTGTAACTCAGTAATCATACGAAACTCAAGGTACTGAGCTTTGATTCACGCAATTTTATTTCTCTGTTCTGAGCTTTAAAAAAGTACTATCTAGACATCTAAAATAAAGTGATGTTGAGTTCGAACTTGATTGTTCACCGAAAAAGTGAGTATTTTTACAAGCTATTTTATAATAATCAACACTGTTACGTTGAAACTCTCAACTATTGCAGAAAATGAGCAAAAGTAAAAAGCACATAATATGCAAAGATGGATAGTGGCTAGCAGTGGAATCCAGGAGGCGCGTTTTGTCCTATTTGGGATTCGTCAACTGGATGTACCTGCACCTTAGACTTTATGTTCACTCTGGGACTCGAACTTATTACCATTTGCTTCAAACCCCATCGTGTTATTCACCTAGCTACTGAGTCCTGATGACCACTTGCTTGTGCAATGGAATGAAGTTTAAATCCACTTGGTGTTGTTTTACTTGAATCTTTTCACTGATGTTTAGGACTGCAATTGATCAGTCTCTTATTGGCATATGTGTATACGGTACTGAGTTCCAGTCTGTTGGGATATTCAGGAAAATATCCCAAGAATTATCCTGTTAAGCCTAATGTTATCCTTGGACATGAAATGGTATCATCTTATTGGTGAATATTTGTTTAACGTGTCATTTTCCTACTGGCCATTATTGTACAATGTTATTTTCTATTTTATGGGACGTTGTGGTCTGCTTGACTGGTATATAAACAAAGTATGTTTGAAATACAATGATTCATATCTCCGAGGCTGTCACTTGTGTTCTGGACTCAACTGGCTGGGTTAGATAGGGAAGCGAGACCAATCAGAACCCTAGGTCGTTCTACGTGTTTGTGCGTCTTTGGTCCGATCAATAATTCCCTACCCTTAATCCGCAGCATCATTTTCACGTTATAACAATTGGCGACGGGGTGAAGAAAAGATACAATCCAAAGTCATTCTGTAATTGGACGAAATCCAGTCTAATTATTCAACCAATCAGTATCCAAATTGTCATCAGTGTCCTTGAACCACATTGGTCATTAGTCATACAGTAATTTTCATCACAGGTGCTGATTCGAAAAAATGACTCTCCCTTCCGATCGATTACAGCTGCTCTTTGAACGACATTTGGACTTATTAGTCAAATTCCGCACGCAGCTGCTAAATCACTCATGCTATGAAGACGCGACGGAAGTGGATGGATTGATATCTCAAATACACAGTGAGCTGGAAAATGACAGCAGCCTACTTGAATCCTCGATGAACTGTACTTCAAACGAAACAGTCATCCATGATGCGCCCAGTGGTCCAGTACTTTCTATTCCAGAAACATGCCCGGTAATGGAGTCAAACTCCATCATCCCCGAAACAGCATGTGCAGACAGTAACATATCCAGCTCACGAGAAGATCTCATTGTTTTGCCAGAAAATGTGTTCCACGCATCAAATAATAACCAAGAACCTGGCACAGTTTTGTTGGACGCCGATTATCATAATGATCCACTACTTACTAAAGATTTAAACCCTGATGACTTCGAATTGGATGGCGTTTATCCTCAATATCTGATCGATTTTACTGGATTCCCTGTGCAATATGTTTTAAATACAATCAAATTAATTGTAATTTGGGTTTATGAAGACCCAACATTATTTCGCGGGGGAGGATGGACGCGGAAAAAAATTTAAAATCCGGACATCAACTCCGGATCTCCAAAAAAGGGAGGTGTTGGGATATTCAGGAAAATATCCCAAGAATTATCCTGTTAAGCCTAATGTTATCCTTGGACATGAAATGGTATCATCTTATTGGTGAATATTTGTTTAACGTGTCATTTTCCTACTGGCCATTATTGTACAATGTTATTTTCTATTTTATGGGACGTTGTGGTCTGCTTGACTGGTATATAAACAAAGTATGTTTGAAATACAATGATTCATATCTCCGAAGCTGTCACTTGTGTTCTGGACTCAACTGGCTGGGTTAGATAGGGAAGCGAGACCAATCAGAACCCTAGGTCGTTCTACGTGTTTGTGCGTCTTTGGTCCGATCAATAATTCCCTACCCTTAATCCGCAGCATCATTTTCACGTTATAACACAGTCCCAGAGTGAACATCAACTCTGAGATGCAGGTACATTCAGCTGACGAGTCCCGAATAGGAAGAAACGCGCATCCTGGCCTCCACTGCTAACCATTATCCATCTTTGCATGTATTGCCTGTAACATAAGACAATATCGAGGTAATACACACAATATACACAATGTGGGAGGATTCAAACAAACAATACCAAGTGAATTTAAAATACACATAGTTTTTAATTATCATCTTAGTGATATGCCATTTATTCTTTATACAATTTTAGAAAAGTCAATGAATATAAAATGCAAATTACAATCACAATACAAACTGCTTAATTTGAAGTGTTACCTTTATAAAGTGTGAACAACAAATATCTCATTGAGAATGAAATGAATTCATTTCATTTCACATGAGTTAAATAGTTCGAAAATACAATGATTTGATTTACAAATATGGTTTTATATGAAACATGAATAAATTACAACGTTCTATATATTATATGCATTGATTTTATAATATGGATTCGAATACAACAGGGAGCATTATTCCCCTTAAAGATTATAGGTATGTCATTGTCAACTAACAGAAAACCTAACTACATCTAGAATTCCCAACCGTTTAACAGTATAAGAATGATAAACTGATCGTTGTCTTATATAGAAATAAATAGTGTTTATATTTATTTCGGTATAATTCACCATTATAACTGTAAAAACTGAAGTAAATGCTAAAACAATAAATCGATGCTTAAAGTAGAACTATTTTGTTATTTACTTTCAAGGAGAAAACGGATCATAAAGAAAACTACAGTTTTGAATGATAATCATTAAAAAAACTTTTACATTAGGATAAACAACCATAATTTACTCTACAACATAAAGCAGTATAGAGGTCATAATGTAGTGTACGTTACTTATACGAACAGATGTAATTGTTATGTAGCAAGAATTGAGAGTGGAATGTTTACCAGGAGATTAAAATAAAGAGAAGGGGAAAGAAAATGAAGATCGATAAGAATAATAACATGATCGGAGGGATGATGAAGTATGCAAAGAACAATTGAAGTAAGATATGCAACTGATGTATATAATGTATTATTTTCATATTCTACAAAGGCACTGTGTAATTTTCCATAAACCAATAGATTGGATTTCCCCACCAAATCTTATTTCTGTACAATGACATTTGCAAGTTTTAATCCTAGTAGATTATGTTTATAATGTAGCGATAAAAAGTTAATGAATAAAATAAATATAACTGTAGTGAACGAGGATGCAGGTTGGGAAAATCAATTTGTCGTTTAGTGCAAAATTATAGTGTCTTCATAAATTATGAATCCAAGCCTTAAATACTTCATTTGCACATCTCTCATCAATTGTACCTTTATGATTCTTTCAATTTTCAATTTCTTTATGTTTCCTTTTCTGTTTTCTTCAGTTCAATCTTCTTTTGGCAGGCACTGCACTTCTGATAACGGTGTTGCATACTACTTATAACTATCAACATAAGTAGCATACACCACGAAATAACTGTTACCGGTATGGAAATGAAATTGAAAGAGGAATATGATATTTCACGGTTAACAGTGATCAGTAAGACACTTAGCTTGATCTAGTTAACTACTTAGTTTGCACTTGTCACTAACACATTTACAATCACGAGACCGATGAAAATACACATGGAGTTTGAACTCATATTATTCAGTATCACTGAGTCATTGGAGTTGCGACTAAACTCTGGTAAGAATGATATCTTATTATTATTACTTTTTAAGAATTAGTTATTTATTCCCATAAGTAACCATTGTAAACTGAAGCTTCATATGGATTTCATGAGTGTTATACAACCTAAATGAATTGATTGTAGTCATGTATCGAAAAAATATAATACTGATATTTAGCATAGAAAGGATTAATTAACTTATTAAAGACCACTTCATAAGAATAACACAACTAACACATTTCGAAATGATTAGTAAACTCATATACACATTTATAAATCTAATTGTATGAGGTTTTGTGAAGTATGTCAACTTGAACCGGTGCATATATGTATGGGCCTGCTTGATCCTACCGTTGTAGATAACTGACTGAATAGGTTATAGAATTATGACAAATACACACTTAAATAAACAGATAAATAAAACACTTACTATGAACACTGGAATATTTTTCATTATTATGTGTATATGTATTGTGAATAATACTTTGTTTGGTAATTAAATCATTTTGAAGATTATTTGATACTAATACTTCAGTACAATTGATTGATTTAGGTTTAACAAAATAATTTATATGTTGTAATGTAAAATTTGAAGGATTCACTAAGGGAATTGTTCGATGAGATTCTTTACCTTGTACAGAATGTGTATTAATTGTTTTCATTTGTGATCTATGAGATTCAGATTGCTAATAGAAAGAAAGAAGGAAAAAAATTGGACGATAACGAGATATAAAAAAAGAATTATTCAATTTAATCAATCTTGTAGTATTTTTGGGATCCATTTATAGACCAATACTATACCTATATTTTTTATCGTATAATTGTTAATTAGCTAAACTATTCATATTCATGTCCCCCTTATGAGCTTTATTTTGACCTATAAAACTATTATTATACGACTTAACATTCTTGAATTATACCGAGTCTATCAATTACTATCTCTCACATTCACAGCCACATTTGGCTAAATCTTGTATAAATGTTGTTTCCTATTTTATGGTACGATGTGGTCTGTCTGGTTGGTATATAAACCCAATATGTTTGAAATAAATGATTCATATAGCAGAGGCTGAGCTTGGTGTTCTGGACCGATAAGTACTCTAGACTGCTCGTATGGGTTTTATGTGTCATTGGTCTGATCGATAATTCACTGCTCTCTAATTGGCGGTATTATCACGTTATACATCAACAGGGCACTCAGGCGACAAGCTATAACAATTTTTGATGCTATCTTGAAATTACTCAGTTAGTCAATTAGTTATATGCAACAAATAACCTGCCTCATAAGTGCATTAGTTCATGTTGTCATATTAATATCAGCACGAGATAAAATTATCAACGAAGTAGATATAGTTAAAATTAGTAAATGGATCTGCGATATCGCAACCATTTCTGAGTGTGATATGTGCTACTAGTATCGACAGATATAAGTAGTATGTATCATCAGTTGAAAGTGAAATTCCTGGAGGCAGAAGGTTAAAAAGATCAAAGAATGATTGATGTGGAAACGAAAGAACAATGAAGTCTGAGACAATCGACTGATATTTGCAAAAGGAACAGTCAAGTTTGAGACAATCGATTGACTGTATGGTTTTCAGATTTTACTAAGATGTTCTGCAATTTTGTGTTCAAATACATTCGATTGTGTCCACTTGTGTTCTCGTTCACCACATAAGGAGTATCATACATCGTCTTCAACCATCGGTTAAGATATAAGTGAGGACCTCATTCTGGTAGTAGCTGACCTAACGACACAGCTCAGTTCAACAGTCAATGACTCTACGGACCAACGTCGCGTTTTGGTTTGAAATTATTGTTTAGTAGCATTCATTTACTAATACGAAATAACATTTAAATGTCATCAAAATATTGCAGATTGATTTGTTAGATTTATTCGAATGTGATCAACAATTAATTCAATTTAGGATTGTTTAACTGATTAACCACTACACAGCGACCAATATCATGTATGTTTAATCCGTAGTAGTGATCGAATGCTACCGAGCAAGTAACAGGTATGGTCACTACTCTATGTGATTTAAATCTAGGCAAAATAATTCAAGACGCATAGACAAATTAAATGTAATAATAGCATGCACGATATTATCATTATTGTTATTAGTATAATCAGAAAATGGAAAAATGTAGATGTCAGGCAACATCAACTCACCGCATTTCGACGATTAGATATAAATTTTAGAATTCCTGTAAAATCCATTTTAATTAACTAAATTATGCCTGATAATATTGTGAAAAAACAATGACACATGGAAATTCTTTTGCTTTGTTTAAGCTCAGTATTAAAATCACAAGACAACAGATTTCATAATAATGAACCCGTAGAGCGATTACGTAATCACAGAAGGTAAAAATGACGATGACAACAATGACAGTGATGACGATGATGATAAATAATAATCCAAAACATATGGTTGTGAAGAAGAAAATTGGAATTTCGAAGATGGATAAGGAGTACTCGTCACGCATACATACACACATAAGTGAAAAAGGAAAATGACGACAATCATAGAAACTATCGGCTAACAAAGTTTATTTACTGACTGACTGACTAACTGACTGATTGAAACCAAAAATATTTCTACTCAACAATAAATCAACCAACCAGTAGTAAATAAGTACAAGAAGTGGAAAATAGAAGAAAAAATACAGAGAAAATAAAAATCAGGCAAACATAACTTAATATTTTAAAGTCAGCAAGATAAGGTAGATGAGAGGAAAGTTACAAAGATAGCTAGGGAACTCGTACAGAGGTTTCTTCGAATATAATATTGGCTAGTAACTAGTACCGGGACCTAGGAAGTGTATTTTGTTCCATTTCGGATGTACCTGAAGTAAAGTTTCGATGTTCACAGTAAGACTCGAACCCAATACATATTGCTTAAAATGCAAACGCGTTAGAGCGATTGAAAATGTCTGTGATTAACGCGAATCAGTAGTCTAATGGATAACGCATTAGATTTTCAAGTAGTAGGTTCTAGTTTCGAATTTCAGTGCGAGCACCAATACTGAGATGCAGATACATGCAGCTAGAGTCACAAATTACAACAAAATGTAAATTCTGGATTCCATTGCTCCCTACTACCTGAAAGTATAATAAAC